GGGTCTTACCGATACCCTCCGAAAAGGAAGAGGGTCGTAAAAAAAAATTGGCATTGCGCAACGCAAGGGATTGCGGTAAACGTTCATACGTCCGATTTCTGAGCTGTTACCTGTTCATGAGTGAAAAAACGGCCAAAAAAGGGGGTCCCGTTTTGCGTTTTCTTGACGGATTTCTCCGCTTTTTTCGCCACTGGCGTACCATTGAGCACCACACGTCTCCTTGAACCCTTCTCGAATCTATCGTAATCGCTGTCTTTAATCTCTAGCGATTTTGATCGATATGTCCCAGGTTTTCCCGCGGGATATTTTGATCTCCTGCTCTACTAATATCCAACCACTTAAATATTCTAGCTCATATACATTGCTCGTAACAGAACAGCTATTCCTATGGTCATGAGGCCTTTTGAAAGGTCGCCTAGAATGTCGACAACTTCGGACCTGTTGCAGAGCGATTCCCAGCCAGAACAATGTTAGGAGTGAATTCGCTGCTGGCGATGACGTTCCAATTCGGAAATATTATCAGAAATCTTCCACGGGTATCATATGTGAAAGCGATAGATGTTTGGATGCTGAGGTAAGGATTAGCACGTACTTGTTCTTCACTTTCTATTTTCGGTGCTTTCACCTTTACCTACTCTTGAGGTATAAGCGGGAAAAATGAATACCACTTATACACGTGGGAAATCATAATCCATCTCCAAGCAAAAATTGGCTCCATGAATGCTCGAAAAGGAGGAGAGTGCGGACGAGAGTCGAGCAAGCAGGAAAGTGGCGCCAAAATTCAAAAAGCACACGTCCGGCTTGGAAAGCGGCGAAGTGGCACGGCTATGCCAAGCACGTGACCTACTACTAGGCAACGGTTGTGGCAACGAACTCGTCCGCGCGCTTCGCTTTTCCGAGCATTCACACAACCAGCCAGCGCCGATAGGTCCAGCAGAAGTATGAGAACAGCTTGGAGTCTGTATCTATGTGCCATTGTGATTGAGAAACTGAACGTAAGCGACTTACAACTGAGGTAAATTCATCCAACACTCCACGATCGGTCGCCTCATTCCGCCAAATGCTGTTTTGAAGCTCACTTCATTTTGTACCATAGAGAAACTATGACACTGAAAGAAATATATGAAGGGATCTGTGCGAAAGTCACACACGGTGGATGTACTCATCATTGCCCGCAACCTAAGGTTTAGTAAGTGCAGAGTTCGCCAAACACAAGTCTCAAGAATAACGTTGTGTTTGAGAAAATAAGCAGAGCTGAGAAAGTATCGGCACTGATTCAGCAATTGTGACATCTCAAGTTGCGGGAAACAAAGTATATGTCACACTTACCTCATTTGCCTGCACAAGGTTGAGGCATTGTTTTAATACAAAAGCGCCGGTGAACCTTATTCTGCATTTTCGTACCTCATTGTGAGCTTCTTTCAGCATGTAAAGATAAATCATCCATAGTAGATCGATTGTTCTGAAATAGTCCAGAAACTAGATGACTTAGGAACTTTCAGAACACCTGGTTATGAATTCTCGTAAAATGTTCCCAGAAATTTGATCAAGCTTTAAAGTATTGGAAGTGGGAGGGGGAAAGGGTGCATCGCGGCGCAGCAGTTCAGAAGGAGAGCTCCTGCTTGTGTGAGCCATTTTGTTTGTGCAAGAAGGGAACTGAACATAAATCGAAATGAATATTTTTCGTAATATTGGGACTTTGGTGCTCTGCGCCGCGATGCCTTACATTCTTCTCCAGTACACCTACCTTACTGCTCAAGAACATTCTGGTTACCAATCTATTTAGCGGTATGTTGTTCATTTTTCTCTCACTGCTGGAATTGGCCGTTGTTGGATTCATGTCCCGAAACGAAGGTCTGCCCCCGAAGGTCAAGAAAAAGCGGAAACGCGAGGATCTCTGATGACGAGTTTTCTTGGAAAGGCATCCAATCAAGCCCTCATCTTGAGTTACGGCAGGTATGCGTACGTTTTTTATTAGTTGCACACATTGTTTAGAGGCACATATTTTCAGTTTTGGGTCGACAAGCGCTCACTCTGTCCGTAATAGCTCGGATGTGAGTTTTTATAAGTAACAGCCATCACCAAGTAATTGGACTGTTACGTGCTGTTCCAGTTACCATCTGATGAACCGCCTGGGATTGAGGCGCCGTATCCACCAGTCCATAGATCTCGTCCACAACGCGATTTACTCGCATCAATACGAAAGTGGTGGAAAAGATTAGGACCATTACGGCCAGAGACGGTTGACTTCTACAGGTGGGTTATTTGTTAGCCACTTGACGGCGAATGAACTATGCACTCTCGTTCGCACACCATCCACTCCATTATCTAGTCATCAGTCATACGGTGTGACTCCCTTGCATTTCGCTTGGAGCCTTAGTGCGGACTAACATGTACAGTCCATGTCTCACTGCCTGGGTAGGCGTGTCTACAAAGAACGTGGGCGCCGCACTTGATCGAAGTCGCGTGGATAAACCGTTTGAGGGGCGTGCTGATCTCATCGAAGTATGTCGGGAGCTGAATCACGCAACTTCTATCATGGATGACTCTAGCGAAGAGACTATTTCGCAGCTCAGACGGCCACCGCTTCGAAGTAACCTGGAGTCCCACTAGCGAAAATGTTTGCGCTGCAAACGCGTATAAGGCCGCTCTTTGCTTCTAGACGTACCACACTCTACCAAAAGCGCACACCTCTACCAAAGCGGGCCAAACGTCAAATTTGTGACATGCTCTACTTGTGCGGGGGGGTGAGCGTGTATTGGTAGTTGATCTGACTGATTAGTAAAAAAAAAAAAAAAAAAAAAAAAAAAAAAAAAAAAAAAAAAAAAAAAAAAAAAAAAAAAAAAAAAAAAAAAAAAAAAAAAAAAAAAAAAAAAAAAAAAAAAAAAAAAAAAAAAAAAAAAAAAAAAAAAAAAAAAAAAAAAAAAAAAAAAAAAAAAAGAAAGAAAAAAAAAAAAAAAAAAAAAAAAAAAAAAAAAAAAAAAAAAAAAAAAAAAAAAAAAAAAAAAAAAAAAAAAAAAAAAAAAAAAAAAAAAAAAAAAAAAAAAAAAAAAAAAAAAAAAAAAAAAAAAAAAAAAAAAAAAAAAAAAAAAAAAAAAAAAAAAAAAAAAAATTTCCCAACACCCACACACAGCACAAAACTAGACGTTACCCGGTGAAAACGTGCAGTAGCTGACTGCTCCAATTTTCCATAAGAATTGAGCATAGGGGGCCAACAATCATGACAGCCGCACTGCACTTACACAA